TTTGACCCAGCAATCCCATTACTGGGTATATACTCAAAGGATTATAAATCATTCTACTGTAAAGACACATGCACACATAGGTTTATTGCAGCACTATTTACAATAGCAAAGACTTGGAACCAACCCAAATGTCCATCAGTAATAGACTGGATAAAGAAAATGTGGCACATACACACCATGGAATACTATGCAGCCCTAAAAAAGGATGAGTTCATGTCCTTTGCAGGGACATGGGTGAAGCTGGAAACCATCATTCTCAGCAAACTATCACAAGAACAGAAAACCAAACACCACATGTTCTCACTCATAAGTGGGAGCTGAACAATGAGAACACATGGACATAGGGGAACATCACATACCAGCGCATGTTGGTGGGATGGGGGGCTAGGGGAGGATAGCATTAGGAGAAATACCTAATGTAGGTGACGGGTTGATGGGTGCAGCAAACCACCATGGCATGTGTATACCTATGTAACCTGCATGTTCTGCACATGTACCCCAGAACTTAAAGTATAATTAAAAAAAGATTTATTGACTATAAGGAGGATATTATGCTGTAATATACTGTTCACATATTATGAGATTCTAATGGTTAGCATTGTTTAGTCATTTGTAAATATCTGCAGTGGTAAATTGTTAAGTATGGAATTTCAGTACCCCAAAATAGGTATACACACAAAAATTTAAGAATATTTATCATCAGTGCAACAATTTTCAGTCAGGAGCCTTTGCCCATGATAAAGTATGTAGGCTGTGGAATCTAGCCAACCTGGCTTTCACTCTTCTACTTAGTAGCTGCATAACCTCAGACAGGCTACTTAGGTACTCTATTTTTCTTTGTCTATCAGAGGGATATATAATAATACTTACTTCTTAGGAGCTGCTGTAAAGATTTACCAAGATAATAGTAGTAGCAGAAAACACTTCTCTAGTCCTTACTGTGTACCGGACACTGATTTAAGCATAATACATTTAAAAATCATAATATCTCCACAACCACTGTATGCAGTGGGTACTGTTGTGTCTGACATTAAATATTAGCAAATAATACCAACAACTACCACCATCAAGAAGTCAACTACATTCTGATGACAATAAGAATGCATTGAAAATGTTACCATGTTCTATTGAAGTTTAAATTCATATTATCTAAAGTCATGTTTAAAGATTTTTAAAACTCTGTTTACTATATTTTTTACCCTTGCTTTCTTGATACTTTAATTAAAATCAGAATTAAGATGTGATGATCACCTGTCTTCAGATAAGCTATACTGTATTTTCAGCCACAGGTTAAACAGTTCAGGGGTATAGAGATAATTGGACAGAACATTTAGATAACTGAAGCCCTCACTGGCTACTAGAATTTATCAAGGGCCTGCATTACTCTGTATGCTTTTGGTGGTGGGTCATTTTTTAAATAAGCTGTGTAGATCCACAAACAAAATGATAGATTCAGAAATACAAGTAAGCTTGACTATTAATTTAAGTTTCAGTCATCAGTATCAGCAGTTTTTACTGTTTTTTTTCCTCAGCTGAGTGACAGAAGCAAAAGACACATATCAAACATGCTCTGGGAAAATTCACGAGACAGTTATAAAATATATACAATCTCTGTGTTTTGGATATATGACATAATCTTCCATCTTACAATGGCAGCTTATACAGGGGACAGGAAGGAGTTTTGCTAGAGTCCCAGAAAGTGATAGGCAATCTTTAACAGTGCTTTGAGCTATGGTTGACTCAGGGAGAATAGAACACCCAGTATCTCTGGTTAAAAAGAACTCAGTAGAAAAATATGAACCATGCAAGCAAGCATTTGAACCAGAATGCATATATGTCTTAAAGCCTAATTTGGGGGAAATTTTCAAGCCCAAAATACTCTAGATATAAATGTGTTAAATGTGCAATCCAAGGTCAACCAGAGAACCTACAGCTAACAAAATTCATAATATAATGCTAAACTGCAATATTGCATCATTAAAAGGTAAGAATGGCACCAGCATAAAACCATGGCTAACTCAAGATACCAAAGATGTCCGGAAGCCTCCCTTCGCAAAACAGCAGGAATGTCAGCTATCTAGGCATGCAGTTTCACTGGTCAAGCATATTTGAGAGCCTTGCAGTAAGCCAGACCTTACATGATAGCCAGCTCTTAGTGGAGTATAGAATTGAGTAATCCTCGGCAAATACTTACCGTGTTCTAATTTTAGCTTGTCATATATAAATGCCAACTTAAAATGACTTTAACAAGTAGGTTGCTAATAAGTCCTGAAAGTAAAAATGAAAGTTAATAACATTGTGCATCATTTGCCAGTAAGCATCTCCATTCCAAGTGTATGTGTGTGTATTTGCCTCCTACTATGAGTTAGAGGCCCATGAGGAAACTCTTATACTCAGGAAGCTCTTATAATCAGCTGTGAACCAGGCTTTTAAAATCATTTCCCTTACCCACACACAGACTTCACTCTGCTTATAGTGTGGCTGCGCATAGTATGACTGTTTCCATCTTGACACTTATTTTCCCATTACTATATTAAAGTGACTTTTTTCTTTATTATATTGATATACTGAATAGACCTTCTCAGGTAATATTTATGGAAACATAAAACCATTCCGGAAGGCAGTTTAATAATAACTACTTCATAAGTCTTCCCTTTGACTTAATAGTTTCACCCCTACAAATCTGATAAGTATATTTAAGGAATGGCCAAAATTATACATATTTACAAGAAAAATTATGGCATTTTTGCTAGTGCTTAACGCAGGCAAAAAATTTATCAATAGATCATAGGTTAAAGTGTATCTGTACAATAGAATGCTGTGTAGCTATCCAGAGGGAGATAAGAAAGTTTTATATACACAGATGCCCCTCGGCTTATGAATTATGATGGTGTTATGTCCTGATAAATTCATCGTAAGTTGAAAATACTGTGAAATTGGAAATGCATTTAATATACGTAACCTATCGAACATCATAGCTAAGCTTAGCCTGCCTTAAATATGCCTGGAACACTTATAGCTTACGGTTGGGCAAATCATCTAACATGAAACCTATGTTTTAATATGATGTTGAATATCTCATGTCATTTATTGAATGCTGTACCGAGGGTCGAAAACAGAATAGTGTTGCACCATCATAAAGTCAAAACATTGTAAATCAAACCATAATTAGTCAGGGACTGTCTGTACTGACATAGAAAGTCTTCCAAGACATGTTATAAAGTGGCAAAATATAAGCGGCAAAGCAGTGTGATGTGATCATGTGTATTTTGAATTATATATACACAAATTTGTATATAGGTGATGCTGGATTTATATTAAATATAAGATAAGATGAGGTTTGTGTTACAACTAAGTAAGAAAAGGTATATAAAATGATTTACATCATGCCTACTTAGTGCATTGAAATAATTAATAAAATTTGCCATTGTTTTTACCTTTATGGAGTGGATAGAGGAAGGAAAAATAGGGCTGCCTTTACTTATTTTACATGTTTTGCATTGAATGATTTTACATGTATTATTTTAGTACAATAAGAGAGAAAACCATTTACTCTTGGGAGAAGATCTGGAAAAGCATATTCACACTAAAATATTAATGACATAACAAAACTTGACATTTTTCTTCTGACACAGGATACTGAAGAACTCCTAATATGTGAGCACAGTGGTGACCTCTGATACTCTTTTGGACAAGGAGTCTTCCTAAAGTCTATAAAAGCAGTTTTGGAGTTTTGGTTATTTGTTTTCACCTTTAAATACCTACCCGTATTTGTAATTGTATTTCTTCCTTTGTGTTATCAGGAGTGTGGGAGGGGCGCGGGGGGGAGAGGGATATGTATACATATTATTTAAGCATTTAGGTGATTATTTTTCAAGAATTGTTGGAAAATTTAAGAAAGCAATGGAAAGAATAATGATGATAATTACTGCTTAGTTATCTAAATAAGCTTCTTTTTCTCCCTTCTTCCGAATCTTTTCTTAGCAAATAAGAATCACCCTGAAAGTAGTTTAAAAGAGACATTCTAGTGACCATACCCAATGAAGTACTAAATATTCATCCTGTTAGAGTGATTATTATAAGGACTCTAAAGGAAAACATTGATTATGCTAGATTATTTATTTTAGAGAATTTTATTCTCAGCTTATAGTCCTGGTTCTGTGAACTGGAGAACTCATTCAGAATAATTATATATCTTTAAAATGCTGATGTTATATTTTATTGAAATTCATTAAAAATTGTAGAAAAAAGTGCTCATTTGAAAACTTCCAAATGTCAGTTTTTCAGAATGACAAACTTAATTACGTAGAAATTGACTAAATTGGTTGATTCTTTCTAAAGTCAGTGTGGGATTAATAATGTCATGCATGGATCTATTGAGGACTTAAAAATACTTGTGGTAAACTTGATGATGTAATGCTATTTTGTTAGGAAAGATGGCCTCTTTTCTTAAGTTGCAATCCTTTAAGGATTCAAAGCCCTAATGGTACATAAGCAATATTGTATGCTGTAAGCTCATTATCATTGGAGGGGAGGTTTAATATAGAGTTTAAGAGCACAAAATATGGAATCAGACCGTTGGTGTTAAAATCCTGGCTCTGCCACTTCCTGGCTGTGAACTTGGACAAGTTACTCTCTCTCTCTGCCTTGATTTTCTTACCTGTAAAACAAGGATATAAATAGTAAGTGGTAGAACTCTTATTTCATAAGGCTGTTGTAAGATTGTTGTAAGAATTTAATGGGTTAGTATTTATAAAGCAGGTCTACATATAGTAAGTGTTCAATAAGGGTTGCTACTATTCATCAGTTTGGTCATGTAATATCTAGTGTTATATATATGTGTTGTCAAATAAACTAGTTGTTTACATATTATTGTTTAAAAGAACATTATTGAATTACAATCTGTTTTAAGTATCTTTTATACTTTTATTTTTGTGAGATGTAAAAACTGATTTTTTTACTAGTTGGTTTTGATTATTTGTTTCTTGTTTGTATTACAGTTACAAATTATAATACTGTGGTAGAAACAAATTCAGATTCAGATGATGAAGACAAACTCCATATTGTGGAAGAAGAAAGTGTTACAGATGCAGCTGATTGTGAAGGTGTACCAGAGGATGACCTGCCAACAGACCAGACAGTGTTACCAGGGAGGAGCAGTGAAAGAGAAGGGAATGCTAAGAACTGCTGGGAGGATGACAGTAAGTCTGATTTTTTTTGTAATATTGTATTCTCATGATTAGTTTTTAAAATATATATTAATGGAAAAGATAAATTGGATGAAAAGTTTGAAATCAATAGTAAATTTGGCTATCAATAAATATTAGGTGTCCTACTTACTAAAACGTAGATTACGAAGCAGAGTAAGAAAGTTATTTTGACCATATTTACAATGCATATAATTTATTGAAATTTAGTAGAATTTACTAACCAGGATCAAGCTTTCCAAATATTGTTGATATAATTGAACCTACCTTTAATTTTTTATTGTAACCCCAAATGAATACTGTACTTAGAAACCAATAAATATTATATTGATATAGTGAAATTATAATTCAATGTGCAAAAATCCCAAACAATATAAATCATGGAGGTATTTTTAGTGCTTTTAAGCCTCTCTATACATACATCAGAATCCTTTAAGTAAGGTGGGGTTTTTTTTCACTTTATATGTTTACTTTTACTCAAAGCATGGCTGAGTGGAAGGAGCAGTGAAAGTAAGGAGGCCCTCTACTTGCTGCACTTTTAATGAATAAACAATGAAAGTTTAATCTTCTTCCTCATCTATCAAATGGAGAAATTGGACTTAGTCTTTTATTCTAGCTCTAAAATTTCTTCTTTCTACTTTTCCTAATAAACTAATTAAATTATTTAGCCTGTCTTGCCAGGGTAAGCACCAGTGATATAAAAATAGCATATGGAAGTGGCATAGTATTAATTCGAGAGGTTGGGGATCAGGAACAAGGACATCAGAAAAGGTAAACAAGTGCATGCAATAACTCAAATCCAAGACCAGTCAAAGGAGAAGCTTCCTAACAAGAGTTCAAGTTCAAAGAGGTCATCTAGATAAGATATCAAAACTAAAATCTGGAAAAGTGGGTCAGGCATGCAGGTCAGGATATCATCTGGATAATGAAATGTGGAAGTATAGATAAAAGCTCAGATAATAGGCACAGATTGGCAGAAGTTAAGATTTCTACAATATGACAAATCTAATGGTTAACAAGGGACTTTGAAAATAATGTAGATCAGCCCTCTCATTTTATAGTGTTCATTTGTCCATTCAGCAACCTCTGTAGAAATTGGTTGCAACTGTGGATAAGACACTCTGCATGAATGATGCATATAGGGCTTAATGGAAAAGAGAGATAAATAAGTCACACATACATTGTAGTTTTATTTAGGTATACATTATGTGGCAGCATCAAGGAGGAGCATCCGAATTAGAAAAGGAAGGGGAAGTCCTAGAAGAGTTCTCAGTGAAACAGAATTGGTCTTTAGTTCTTAAGGACCAATGGAGGTTAATTAGGCAAAGTAGAGTGAATATAAGGTGTTTCAGGCAAAAGAGGCAACACACATGAAACCACAGACACTTGAGCAAAGTGGTCACAGAAAATGAGATCAGAGAAGTAAACAAGGGAAAAAATATGAAGTGATTTGTGTACTGTGTCAAGGAATTTGAACCTTATCATGGAAGTTATGAGAAGAACATCATTAATGTAATTTATAAATAAGTCTGGTGCAATATGGAAAAAGAATTTTACAGGGAGGGAGGCCCAAGCAGCTACATCTGCTGTCTGCCAGGCCGGGATAGAGTGGGGCCCATGTATGCTCACATGCCCAATTCAGGATCCACCACCATTCCTGCAGGACTGAGGTGAATCTAAACCACACATGACCATGCCTGCCAGTCCCTCCTAAGATTGCCTGCCTGGCCATTGCTGTGGAGTAGGATCCACAGCATAGCCTCCATTGCCCCACCTGAGTGGTTTATTGCTACCTGGGAACACTTCACTCCTCCCATCACTGCCAGTGGTTGATCCTAAGGAGCCAGAGGACAGATCCACTGGCTTGGTCTCAGTTTGCCAGGACTCAAGCATACCACCCAAGAATATGGGGATGAGATCTGTGGCCTGATCTCAAGCAGGGGAGGAACCCCCACTGTCAGAACACAGAGAAGAGTGTGGTGCGGGTTTTTCAGGTGGTACAGAAGCTGGGCACCCCTCCCTTCATGAGAACAGACTAGGAAGGGTGTAAGCTCATAGCCTTGGTTTCTGCTGCAGGGAGTCTTGCATTCTGGAATGCCTGGAATGGCATGGCAGTCTGGACACAGGTGGTTTGGGATTTGCATAACTAATTGGGCCGGCTGCCAGGGTGGACACTGGAGGGAGACCCACCAGTCAGGGGTGTAGAAGCTGGGTGGGCCCCATGGCCATCTGCTGGAATGAAAACCCAGGGCCAGCCCTCTTACCCTGAACCAGCTCTTATGGCACAGGAGAGATGCCTCCACCCCTCCCTAGAGTGTTGTTCCAGCTGCCTGAGAACTGCCCCAACAGCCCTACCAAGGTCCCATCTGCCTCAGAGAGCCTGATCACAGGCTTACCGGACACAGTTCCACCCAGCTTTGCCCCCTCTAGCCAGCCTTGGGAGCGGAGCATGGAATGGGACCACTGAGAGCTCCACACCCCCACCCATCACCAGGGACACCCTCGTATTTCCTATCAACAAAGGCCAAGTAAAAATCCCACTGTCATCACTCCAGCTGCCTCTCACCTGCCAGCATCACCTACTGTCCAGGAGGTCAAACTTCATGGCCTGTCACAACAACTGTTGATATCATTGCACAGCACTTAGCTCTTCCCTGCAGGCATCACCTGCTGGCCTGTAGGGTGAACTGCACAACCCAGTATAATTCCTGCTGACAAGTACACAGTGCTAAGGAAAGAGATAATCTTCCCCCAAAAGACCTCCAACTTTGCGTCTCTTTAGGAGACAGTGAACCTTTCTACACATACAGCGCTCCACTACTACAAACTACAAACAATTAAAATTTGAGAAAACGACTACACTAAGGCTATCTATAACCAAGGAATTTATACAGAGCCTTGGCCCCCTAAAAGCACATAAGCAAAGCCAAAGGACACAACCCAACATACGCAAGAGTCACACCCTCAAGAGGCAAAGAAAAATAATCCCACCCAAATTAAGATCAATCTAAAAATAAGTGCTTCTACACATGAGAAAGAACCAGCACAAGAAGTCCAGCACCATGAAGAAATAGAATGTTGTGACATCCCTGAAGGACCACATTGGCTCTCTAGCAGTGAATCCTAATGAAAATGAAAACTTTGAAGTGACAGATAAAGAATTTAAGATATGGACTGTAAAGAAGCCCAGTGAGATCCAAGAGAAAGTTGAAAACCAAAGCAACTAGAGAAACAATCTAAGAAATGAAAGATAACATAGATATATATTTTTAAAAAGCAAATGGAACATCTGAAAATGATAAATTTGCTGAAGGAACATCAAAACACTGTTGAAAACCTTAACAATAGACTAGACCAACCAGAAGAAAGATTTCAGAGCTTGAAGACTAGTCTTCAAATTAACCCAATCAGACAAAGAAAAAAATAATTTTTTAATGAACAAAGCCTTCAAGAAATGTGGGATAATGTAAAGCTACCAAACCTACGACTTACAGGCATTCTTGATGGAGAAGAGGAAAAAGTAAAAAGCTTGGAAAAATATTTGAGGGAATAATATAGGAAAATCTCCCAATCTTCCAGGGATGTAGACATCAAGATACAAGAAATTCAGAGAGTACCTGAAAAATACTGTACAACATTAACATGTCCAAGGCATATAGTCATTAGGCTATTCAAGGTCAATGTGAAAGAAAAATCTTAAATACAGCTAGAGACAAGTGTCACATCACCTATGAAGGAAGCTCATCATCCTGATGGTAGACTTCTCAGCAGAAATGTTGTAAAACAGAAGAGATTAGAGGCCTGTTTTTGGCCACCTCAAAAAAATGTCAGCCGAGAATTTTATATCCTGCCAAACTAAGCTTCATAAATGAAGGAGAAATAGTCTTTCCCAGATAAGCACACATAGAGAGAATTCATCGCCACTACACCATCTTAGAAGAAATGCTCAAAGGAATTCTGAACATGGCAGTAAAAGGATAATACTTGCCATCATAAAAGCACAGGTAAGTAGAAACCTCAAAGATCCAATAAAGCAATTACACAACTGAGACTCCAAGGCAACTAGCTAACAAAACTATGATGGGAAAAAAACACACATATTAATATTAACCTTGAACATAAATGGCCTAAATATTCCATTTAAAAGATAAAGACTAGCAAATTGGATAAAAGAAGAAGGACTCAACCATCTGCTGCCTACCAGAGACCCACCTAATGGCAAAAGACAACTACAGACTCAAAGGGGCTAGCAGAAGAAATAACAAAGAGAATGACTAAATGAGATTGAGACCAAAAAAAGTGATAAAAAGCATCAACATAGTGAAGAGTTTGTTCTTTGAATGGATAAACAAAATTGGTAGACCACTAGCTAGTTTAATGAAGAAAAAAGAGAAAATTCAAATAAGCACAATCAGAAATGATAAAGGTGGCAGTATTGCTGATACAACAGAAATACAAAAGCTCATCAGGGGTTACTATGAGCATCTCTATGTGCACAAATTAGATAACCTAGAAGAAATAGGTAAATTCCTGGAACACACAACCTCCCAAGATTGAATCAGGAAGAAATAGAAATCCTGAACAGACCAATTATGAGTAAGGAAAGTGAATCAATAGTAAAAAACCTTCCAACAACAAAAAAGCCCAGGACCAGAGAGATTTACAGGACTGTTTTGCCATATCTACAAAGGAGAGCAGGTTACCAGTCTTACAGAAGCTATTCCAAAATACCAAGGAGGGAGGGATACCTCCCTAACTCATTCTGTGATACTGGTTATCTCCCTGGTGAATATAAATGTAAAAATCATCAACAAAATACTGGCAAACCAGATTTATCAGCGCATCAAAAACAAAATGTATCACAATCAAGTGTATTTTATTCCAGGGATGCAAAGATGGTTCAACATTTGCAAGTCAGTAAATGTGATTCACTACATATTCAGAATTAAAAAGAAAAACGATATGATCATGTCAATCAATAGATGCAGAAGAGG